TCAGATGGCCAACAGACACATGAAAAGATGCTCCACATCTCTAATCATCAGATAAATGCAAATTAAAACCACAATGAGATATCACCTCACACCAGTAAGGATCGCCACCATCCAAAAGACAAACAATAACAAATGTTGGTGAGGAGGTGGAGAATGGGGAACCCTCCTACACTGCTGGTGGGAATGTAAATTAGTTCATCCATTGTGGAAAGCAGTGTGGAGGTTCCTCAAAAAACTCAAAATAGAAATACCATTTGACCCAGGAATTCCACTCCAGGAATTTACCCTAAGAATGCAGCAGCCCAGTTTGAAAAAGACATATGCATCCCTATGTTTATCACAGCACTATTTAAATTAGCCAAGAAATGGAAGCAACCTAAGTGTCCATCAGTAGACGAATGGTTAAAGAAGTGGTGGTACATATACGCAATGGAATATTATTCAGCCATAAGAAGAAAACAAATTCTACCATTTGCAACAACATTGATGCAGCTAGAGGGTATTATGCTCAGTGAAATAAGCCAGGCAAAGAAAGACAAGTATTAAATGATTTCACTCATCTGTGGAGTGTAAGAAGAAAGAAAAAACTGAAGGAACAAAACAGCAGCAGACTCACAGAACCCAAGAATGGACTAACAGTTGCCAAAGGGAAAGGGACTGGGGAGGATGGGTGGGAAGGGAGAGATAAGGGGGAAAAGGGACATTATGATTAGCACACATAATGTGGGGAGAGGGCTACAGGGAAGGCAGTATAGCACAGAGAAGAGAAGGAGTGATTCTATAACATCTTACTACGCTGATGGACAGTGACTGTAATGGGGTATGTATTGAAGATGATAGAATTCGGGTTCCTGAATGTGAAGTAGAAATTCCCACCCATCCTGCTGAATGGGCTTTTAAATAAAAAATAATCTTGTGTCATGCTACTGAGATTTGAGCACTTTATTTATTACAGTGGCTAGAGTTACCATAACTAATATAACCTCTCTATAGTTATTACCTCATTAAAATGTTATCATATAGCATTTTATGTTTTATTACCTATTATTTTATTATCTCTGTTTTCTAACTCAAGAAAATAAAGCTCAAGACTATTCAATGACCAGCCTAAGTTCATTTATTGAATCACGAGGCTAATATTAGATTTTCTATTTCTTCTTGAGTCAGTTTTTGTGGTTTTTGTCTTTCTAGAAATTTGTTCATTTTACGTAGTAAACTGAATACAAATGTTCTCAGTTTTGCTGTATAACTTTTTGTTTCTGCAAGGTTAGTGGTCATGCCCCCATCATTCCTAACTTTAGTAATTTGTGTCTTCTCTCTTTTTTTCTTGTTCACTCTAGCTAAAGGTTTGTCAATTTTGTTGCTTTTTGAAGAACCAACTTTTAGTTTTGCTGAAAGCCAGACATTTAGGAAATATAATGGGGAATCTCAGGAAATCAGATGCTCCCTCCTCCCAGAGTTTTTTGTTGTTACTGTTTGTTAGAGTTGTTTTTTGCTTGTTCGGTGACTTTTCTGAACTAGTTTTGTAATGTTTGTATTTTTTGTTGTGTATGACCATGACAGATTCTGTTAGCTATGTGCTCAGCTAATGATTAGACAGAAATTTCCTAAAATGCCTGGAACCAGTATGTCTCCCAATGTTTTTTTAATTTATTTGTTTATTTATTTTATTTTGGTGTCCCAGTGTTGAGGGTCTGTGTGTGGGTGTTGGGGCATAGCTTCAATACTAAGCCACCAGTAGCCAACTCGTCCTTAGCCTTCACTTCTTGCTTATACAGAGCCTCAAGGTCAGTCTATGGTGAATACCTTAGGGCCTTTTGAGGTCTTTCTGAGTTTATCCACAGTTTAACACAACCCTGAGCATATACATGGCTTCTACATTCCCATGAGTATGTTGGAGCTTTTCAAAGTTCCTACAGACATTCCAGCTTTTCCTTTTAAGCTTTTTGGTTTACCTATAACTTGCCCCAGTGTTTCCACTGCCTAAGACTGCAGGAAAATTAATCAATTCCCTCTCACTGTTTTTGACAAATGATTCTGGAGAAAAGACTTTCTGCACTGAGTTGGCTCTGAATCAAGCAAATGAAGATAGCCTTGCAAGTGGGATCTTCTAGTGAACTGCCAGATAGGTGTAATGATTATTCTCATGAATTAAGAAGCTTTGAAGAAGCTCCAACCTCATTCTGCCTTGTCAGGTGGCTCCAGGCTGCTGGTTTTCAGCGTGACTGTGGGCTATTGTTTTGCTTTTTGCAATGCTACAGCAGAGTTGGAGATGAGGGGATTAGATTAGAGCAAGTCAAAACATCACAAAGTTTGCTGTTCTTACTGAGATTCAGCCATTTTTCTTGAATAAATGCTTCTTGGATTGCTGCACACGGTTGGTTAATTTCCAGAGTTCTCAAAAAGTTAATTCTGACAATTTTGTCAGTTTTCACATTGCCTTTGTGCAGGAAAGGTTCTTTTCTAAAATACTTATGCCTCCATTTTTGCTATGTCACTTTCATACTATAATTAGAACTCAGTTCCTCCTAGTCCTTGACGGGTCTTCTTATATTATGTCTGTGGTCATCAAATTTTCCGTATAACAGAATCACCTGGAAGGCTTGCTAAAACACAGACTGCTGGGCTCGACACCTAAGAGTTTCCAATTCAGGTCTGAGGTGAGACTTGCTTTAGAAATTGCATCCTAAAGAAGTTCCCAGATAATGCTGATGTTGGGGATCACTCTAAGAACCACTGCATTATACCACATGGTACCTTCAACCCATTGCCTTAGGGAGTGATTCAAACCTCTGGAATCAATAACAATAATACATATAGGTTAATAATGCATATTATCATCATTACATACACATAATGATAATTATATAAGCTAACATGCATTTAGTACTTACTACATGCTAGATATGATATGCTCACTTTTATTAAGTTCTTTAATCTATACAATGACTCATGAGTAGGCATTAATATTTTTCCCATATTTAAATTGGAAACTGAGGTCAGAGAGGTATGTAGACTGCCCAAAGGTACACAGCTACAAATGCAGGAGCTAGTGTAAGAATGTGGTCTGATTGATTCTACAGTATATGCTTTAAGCCTCTACAGCATTGTTTCCCAAAGAGTAACATAAATCACTTCTGATGCCTTGGATGAGTTCAGTTGGGACATCCATGCAAGATTAAAAACAATGACTCACATAATGAGGAAGTGATTATTATTTTGGCCCTGTTTTTCTATCCTTTTATATCATGATAAATATGCCATTTGCGTGCTTGGTTTTTAATAAATGTCCAATGCTTGGTAACTCCCCTGTTAACAGGGAGAGGGCTTTAGGCTCAGAGACATTAGTAGCTAATAGTTCTAGCCATAATTTAAAAACATTGTTTTATGTTCACTTTTCTTAGTTATTTTCAATTTAGGAGTAGTAATATTTTCCATTTGTAGTATTTTTACAAAGATATTGAAGAATACATCTATTTAAAGAAAATAAATAATACTGCCAGTAATATATACTAATAAGATATGAAAAATACTGAAATTGACAAAGCCTGCCACACAGGTTAGTGTATCCAAATAGATCAATAGTCAACAACACACTTAAGGTAGAGGAGGGAAATGTGTTCAAAATATGAATTCTCTCTCAAGAGGGAGAGAGTTGGTTGGAAAGGAGCCACAGCTTTTAGAGCAACATGCATAGAGCAGAGAAGTATCAGTGGGAAATGGTTCCTTGGCAAAAAAAATGTAGGGGTGAGTTGAGACTCAGATTTGATTGCCCAAAATGTTAAGCAAATTCTTTGAACTCTAGTAAATTTTGGATAAATTCTTTTCATTAACAGAAAAAAAAAAAAACCCAACAACCTTAGTTCCAGTTCCCTGGAAGGGTATTTACCAGTGGCCAGAGACAGCACAGTTACGTGGACTCTTAATTCTTGGGGGAGGGGATGCGGCAACTATATCCTGGGCCCAGACGTTTGCGTGGAGAGGGTGGAGGGGTTGGGGAATAAGATGGGAGGAGAGCAAGGCTGTAATCATAGAAACGGACGTGTTCAGGATGAAAACACAGGACATGTGCGGGACCAAGAAACAATTTAGCATCACTGACATGCTAAATTACTACCAGGTTTAAATTAAGCAAGGTGTCCAGGCACTACAGCTGTTGTATTTATTTTGGTTGCATGCGAAGGGAGCTGTTACCTCCCGGCTTGACAACAGATCATCCTCAAGATGCGAAGTGGAAGGCTCTGGTCAGGCAATATACAGAAGAAACGCAGGCCTCCCCTACAACCAGCCGCCGCCCCAAAAGAATCAGAGAAAAGGTGACAAGAGTCTGACTGAGGCTGGAAGGGGAGAGGGCACTATATAGTGCACACCGTGACGCTGGGCAGAGGTGCCCCGCCTCCGTCGGCTGATTTATCTTGTCCCACCCATATCTGACCTGCAACAGGTTGAACTTTAGGCCAGGAGACCTTAACCTTTTTAGTCACATTTCTAGTCGAATTACGATTTATTTTAGTTCCTCCATTATGGTTGCTGCTGCTGGAATCTCTGTTAAGAGTCTAGCTGCGCCAGAGTCCATCCGCTCTCGCCCGCTTCCCTTTCTCTGAGACTCCGCCCTTTTCTCCCAGCTCAAACCACAAAAGGCCCTGCCGTGCCAGCCCCAGCACGGCGCCCCGCCCCTCCCCAGGCGTCGCCGTGCTGCAGGGAAAGGGGGCGGTCCCAGATTGGGGCAGGGGCGGAGCGTGGCTCCGTCCTCCTCCGACCAATCGGCGAAGGCCCCCAGAGCGAGGAAAGGGGACCGGGGAGTAGAGACAGCCCGAGTATTTTTCCCTTTTTCTGCCACGTCCCAACCATTGACGTAAGCCCACTCCTCAGGTTCCGATTGGATATGTGGATTTTTCCCGCAGAGGCCCTTTAAGCTTACTGGTGGCCACTATTTAGGGGCGGGGCTTGTGCGCCCTCCTCCTCGGCCTCCACCGTGGCGCAAGGGACGGGGCGCGCCGCCGCCGCCGCTTGTGCTTCCGTCGCCGCTGCCGCCGGCCTCTACGTGTTCGGCGGGGGAGGAGTCGGAGGCGGAGAAGAAGGCGGTGGTGGCGGGTGGAGGATCGAGCGCTGTTCTCGCGCCGGAGCCGCTGCACAGTTCGGTGAGGGGATTTTTTTTTTTAAATCTGGCTTATTCTGATGTGAGGAATTTAGGGTCGGGGCGAGGAAATTGCTGCCTTCACCTACTCCATCTCCTAATTTCTCAAGAAGAAGCGGGGCCTGTTCCCGGCCCGCTGCGCCGGCCATGGTGGGTGGGGTTGATGGCTGGAAGAGGCCTTTTTCGCCTCCTGGGCCCTGTCCAGCCTGGACCTGGTGCCGCGCTCGAGTCCTCGGCCTCCGCGCCCGCTGCCCCCAGCCGATGGCGTCGATGGTATCGGGGGTCTCCACCGACCCGTCTTCCGGCCGCCTTCTCTGCTGTCCTTGGTGCCGTGGCCAAGGACCCCGCTGCCTCTCTCCCCACGCTCGCGACTGTGTACGCGTGTGCCCCCCCGTCAGCACTCTCACCCGCCTTCCCTGCACGCTTCCACTCCCCCACCCGGAGCCGGTCCGTCTTAGGCCACAGGCCTGCAGCCCTGCAGCCCTGCCCCGGAAAACCTTCCGTGGCCGTCACTCTCCTAGCTGTGTTTGCATTTTCCCCGATTGTCGCCGAGGCTCGGGCACGTAGACACCCTGTACAGACCGCAGCAGTCGTTCTCCCGGTATCACCACTCTTCATCACTGCTTCCCCCTTTTAGCGATGTCAGAGCACGCCTCCGGTAGATGCCCCTTCAATTTTGTCCCCCCTAAGATTACTGCTTGTTAATCATTTTGCGCACGTTCAAAATGGTGAGTTGAAAGTCGCTCACACCAAGTTGAAGAAAAGGGGAGGAGGTAAATAGTCTTTTGCAGGAAGGAACATTTTAATCTGTAAGACTTAACCTCTTCAGGCATATTTTTTTTGCTTTGAGTGTACTGGTTTTGTGAAGTTTACGATTCTTTTAAAGACTTAATATAATGTTACGCATGAATTGTTTGGTCAGTTAAATGTCTTCTGAACACTACACATTTGAAGAGTATGTAACCATGTAAGTAAAACATTAAGATAACACGTTTAAACTTATTCGGGTTTCTCGTCTTCGTAATTCATGTCATTTTTATATGAAATAACTAATTTTTTAAAATTAAGTACAGACATGCAAGCTTGATCTAAAATTCAACAATATAGGAAAAAAGACTGTTGGGTAAAATGTGAACATTTTTTATCCCCATTCTCACTGCATTTTTCTAACTGTACTTTTAAACACATACATACATGTAAACTTTGTGTGTGAGGAAGAATACCAAACATTGGTCTGTCACTTGGGTTATTCACTTACATATCTTGGACATCTGTACTTGTTACATATAGGTCTCCTTAACAGTTTTAAAGGTTAAGTGTCATTTCATTAGTTTGAATGGGATACAATTTAACGATTCCCTTATGAAAAGACATTTAACTAGTTTCTCTTTGCTACCACAAATATGCTTTATTTGAAGCCAGTTTTTTGTTGATTAGCTTTTCATTACAAACAAAAATTCAAACAATATAGAAGAATGTAAGTTAAAAATGCAATTTCCACTTCCCCTTCTAGTCGTACCTTCATCCTGTTCAGGAAACTTCCTCTGTCTATATGTATACGTGATTATTTCTGGAGCATGGATTCCTAGAAATGGAATTGTTGAGTTAAAGGGTATAACATTTCTCCCTCATTAGTATTCTTTCTGAAATTATTCTTGACTGTTTTTTTAGGTATTTCTTCCCCAGATGAACTTTAGACTCAACATGTAAATTAAATTTTAAAATTCTTAGGCTTTTGAATGATGTTACATTGAAATTTTAGATTACTTTGGAGTGAATTGACTTTTATGATATTGAAGTCTTTCCCTTCAGTATGTATGTATAGTATGTCTCATTTCACTCATATCTTGTTTTATATTCTTAGGTAAAGGTTTATGTTTTTTTTCCCATATATGTAACATTCCTTCTAGTATTCTAGTTTTATGATTTTGATTGCTCTCGTGGATGGAAACTTCCAGTAACATTTTCTCTTTTTTTTTTCGGTATAGGGAAGCTTTAGAATTTTTTTCTCTTTATCATGAATTCATCACTTTCAAGTTGATTAAGAATACAGTTTTGTGGCTTTCTTTCCAATTTTTATACCTTAATGTGTGTTCCTCACTGCTTTGGCTATTACACTGCCTATATAATGTTGAATAACAACACTGATAGTTAAAAAGTTGATGGTGTTTCTGACTTTAAACATATTGCTTCTGATGTTTAGCATCAATTTCCTATTCTTAGCTTTCTAACGTGATCTTATTGTTTTTCAGATTTGATGACATTTTTAAAAACCAGAAATGGGTATTGAATTTTTTTCATGTTTTTGACATCTTTTGAGTTGTTATATAAGGGCAACCCCAGTAATTCCTGGTTAGTATTTTCCCCAAAGAGTTCCTTTTTAAAGAATCAACTTTTTAAAGGATAATTTACATGCAATAAAATCTGTACATTTAAAATGTACAGCTCAGTGTTTTGATAATGTGTACACCCATGTCACTACTACCACAATCAGGATACAGAATATTTCTATCATCCCTAAAAGTTCCTTTCTACCCTTTTGCAGTAAGTCATATTTTCACCCTCAGCCCCAGGAAACATTTGTCTTCTCTTTCTCTCTATAAATTGGTTTCATTTGTTAACAAATTTCATATAAATTGAATCATAGAATATGTACTCTTTTGCATCTGGTGTTTTTTTCTCTCAGCATGGTGTTTCTGAGGATCATTCATGTATTTTGTGTTCATGACTTTTATTACTGAATGGTAGTCCCTTGTACTTATTGGTTTACCACAATTTGTTGACCATTTCACCTATTTATGGAGATTTGGGTTGATTACCGTCTGGGGCTGTTCCTAATAAAGCTGTTGTGAATATTCATTCATGAGTGTTTGTATAAACGTATGTTTTCATTTCTCTTGGGTGATACCTAGAAGTGGATTTGTTGGGTTGTATGATAAGTGAATATGTAAATGTAAGAACTTGCCAAACTGCTTACTATGTTACAGTTCCAGTTGCTGTACATTTTCATCAACACTTAGTTATTTCAGTCTTTAATTTTAGCCCCACTTGTGGGTATGTAGTAGTGTTATACTGTAATTTTACCATGCATTTATATGATGATTGATGATGCTGAGAATTTGCTCATGTGCTTATAGGTTATATATTTGTATGTCTTCCTTTGGGAAATACCTGTTCAAAATTTCACGCTTTTTTTACTGATTTATAATTGATACACAGTATTATATTGACATGTATTTCAGGCATACAACTTAGTGATTTGACAATTGTTTATATTTCTAAATGCTTACCATAATACATGTAGTTGCACTTTTGCCCATTTTTAAACATTGGGTTGCTTGTGTTACTGAATTGTAAGAATTCTTTATATTTTTCTTACAGAGTCCTTTCATACACACACACAGACACAAACACACACACGCCTCAAGTTTACCTTTACTTTTTCCTAACTTTTTGAAATAGAGAAGCTTTTGATTTTGATTAAATTTAGTTTGTCAGTTTTTTTCTTCAATGATTTGTGTTTCTGTGTTCTAGGTTTGCTCAATGCAAAGTTGTGCAAATTACTTCTTTTCTTCTACTAGTTTTATAATCCTGTGTTTTATGTCAAGATGTATCATCCATTTTGAGTTAATTCTTTATAAGGTATGAGATAAAAGAGTAAAGTTTATTTTCCCAGTTCTGGCACTATTTACTGGGAACATTTTACTTTTCCCGATTGAATTGACTTAATCAAAAATCAGCTGACTCTATATGTGAGTCTATTTCTGTACTATACCTCCATCTCTATCTAGTTTACCCTTTACCATATTGTCAGGATTATTGTAGCCTTATAATAAATCTTGAATCCAGCTAGTATGAGTTCTCTTTTATTCTTTTCAAAATCATTCTGGATATTCTAGTTCCTTTGCTGTTCCATAACATTTTTTAGAGGTGATTTATTGGTTTCTACAAAAGGTACTGTAGAGATGTTCATTAAGATTGTATTGAAGATAGCAGTCATTTTGGGAAGAACTGACACCTTAATATTGAGTCTTCAAATAAATGAGCACAGGATATCTCCATTTATTTAGATCTTTGATTTCTTTTCATCACCATTTTGTAGTTTCAGTTGTTATTGCTCATATTTTGTTAGATTCATGTCTAAGTATTTCATTTCTGATACTATTGTATATGATAATTTTCTTAAGTTTCCATTTCCAGTTGTTCATGGACAGTATGTAGAAATAGAGTTGGTTTTATATACTGACCTTGAATCCAGCAAGCTTGCTAAACTCACATAGTATTTTTTTTTGTAGATAATGTGGTTTTCCTATGTAAATAATTATATCATTTGCAAATATAGAACAGTTTTATTTCTTTTCTTTTCAATTTGTATGTACACCCCCTGCCTTTTTTCTTTATTGCACTGACCAGGACTTCCAGTATAACGTTGAATAGGAGTGGTGAGAGCAGATATCCTTGTCTTGTTCCCGGTGTTAGGAGGAAAGGTTTCAGTCATTGCATTATAATTGTTATTAGGTATAATAGGCTTTTTATCAAGTTCACTAAGTTTTTATGGAGTAGACACTGAGTTTGGTCAAATGTTTCTCACTATTTATTGAGGTGATCATATAGTTTATTTTCTTTGGTCTATTAATAAGATGAATTATGTTGATTTATTTTTAAATGTTGAATCAGTGTTGCCTTCTTTAGGTATACCTCACTTGGTTGTAATGTATCATTTTCATAAATTGGTGAATTAGATTTGCTAATATTTTGTTGAGTACTTTTTTTGTACCTGTGTCCAGGAAGGATGTTTTTTTATGTAATTTTTTTGTATCAGATAATTCTGACCTCATAGAGTTGACAGTGGTAATTTTTTCATACACTTACTGAAAAAAATTTGGATAGGATTAGTATTAGTTTGATAAATGTTTGTTAGAATTTGCAAGCTAACCCATCTGGGTCTAGCTTTTTCTTTGTTGAAAAGTTTTAAAGAATAAATTCAGTTACCTTTAATTGAGA